AAGTGAAAGAAGAGACTGAAAAAANAAGCTGGCTTGAAACTCAACACTCAAAAAACGAAGATCATGACATCCACCACTTCATGGCAAATAGAGGGGGGGAAAAGTGGAAACCAGATTTTATTTTCTTGGGCTCCAAAATCACTGCAGATGGTAACTGCAGCCATAAAATTAAAAGACACTTGCTCCTTGGAAGGAAAGCTATGACAAACCTAGACAGTGTAGTAAAAAGCAAAGACATCACTTTGCTGACAAAGTGATAGCCGTTTAGTAAAAGCGATGGTTTTTCCAGTAGTCGTGTATGAATGTGAAAGTTGAACCATAAAGAAGGCTAAGCACTGAAGAATTGATGCTTTTGAATTGTGGTGATGGAGAAGATTCTTAAGTTCCTTGGACTGCAAGGAGATAAAACCTGTCAATCCTAAAAGAAATTAATCCTGAATATTCATTGGAAGGACTGATGCTGAAACTGAAATTCCAATACTTCGGCCACCTGATGTGAAGAGCCAACTCATTGGAAAATTGAAGGCAAAAGGAGAAGGGGGTGGCAGAGGATGAGATAGTTATATAGTATCACCAACTCAATTGACATAAGTTTGGGCAGACTCCAGCAGATGGTGAAGGAAGCCTGCTGTGCTGCAGTCCATGGAGTCGAAAAGAGTTGGACAGGACTTAGCAACTGAACACAACAGCAAAGAAAGAAGAAAGTGAAATCAATGCCAGCGATCAGAGGTAACAGCATATCCACAAGACCTAAGTAAGAATATGCTGTGTGCAAGCTTTATATTCTATTCTTTCCATTATTACTATTCACAGGATTTTCTCCCCTGTGTTTTTAGACCCAGACTCTCACCCCTGATCCTCTTGATTCTTTACACAAACACATGGGAGGGACTCTGTGTGATATCACAAGTGGCGCCTCTCGTGGCCAGCGAGAAGAGTCCCATCCCTCCAGGAGAAGCTCAAATGTCCTTTTCCCTGAAAATGCTATGGGAGGAAAGAGTGGCTAGAAGAGCAGACTGTAAGTGAGTTCTGAAGTCAGACGACCCAGGGTTCAGGTCACTGCTGCCTAGTCTTCAGGATGTTGGTAAACAAGCAGCGGCGACACGGGGCACTTTACAGATGTCAGCTCCCTCAGTGGGGACAACCGCCCAATGGCATGGATATACTCTCATCCAATTTACAAATGGGGAGACGAAGACAGAGAGGTGAATTACTAGGAAGTGGGAAGTCAGGATTCTAATCCAGGGAGTCTGACCTCAAAGTCCAAGCTTCTTACACAATAACACAAGTGGAAATAACATAAGTGTAACAATATTTGCCAAAATACTCTAAATCAGGGTTTCCAGCCTGGGCGCTATTGACATTTGAGGCTAGATAATTATTTGTTGTGGAGGGCTTTGTCCTGTGCTTTGCAGGATGTTTAAGCAGTCCCCTGGCCTCTACCAGTAAACACCAGTAGCACCTCTGCCCCAGTGTTGACAACCAAAAATATCTCCAGGCATTGCCAAATGTTCCCTGGGGCCCAAAATTGCCATCAGTTGAGAACCACTTCTCTAAATAGTAAGAGCATTTTCAAATAAAAATGTTCTTTCTCTTTGTTCTCATGGCAGCAATAATTGTTTCATTAAGCAGGTATTTTGCAGTTATAAAGGATGTATGGGCCAGAGAGGGGTTGGCTGGGTGGGTGTAGGACAGAGTAGAAAGTGCTAAGCAAGGCTATAGGATGTAGGATCAGATACCATGAAGCTCCCCAAGCTGGAGAAGGCCCTCTGGTCATAGATGTGTAGCAATGGCCAAAGAGCCACATGTTTATTCCTTTTTCCAGCAGAGAGGGTGGAGGTGTGGAGGGGTGAATTCTTCCTTATGGAGGGAAGTGAATGTTCAGAAGAGAAGGCGTGAGGTGTGCATGAGATGCAAGTGTGCCCGATGCAGTTCAGGATCAGGAGAGAACACTGGGTCCTCTGTATACATGCCTCCCCTTCACCCCACCTCTCCTCCCTTTAAGGTTAGAGGGGTCCTCAGATTCCTCTACCTCCATTTTCCAACTTCACAACTAGAGAGCTCTGTGCTAACAAGCAGGAACTGAATTTTCAAGATAGAAAATAACAGTGACCCACATTTGCCCACCTTAAATAAAATGAACCCCATTTCACTTTCCTGTTTCACTTCAAGGAAGACAAAATACTACCCCAAGCTCTGGGCACAGAGGTGCTGGCACAGTCAGCTGCTGAAAACCCAAGTCCCCAAACCCTCTGCCCTCTGCTGGATGGGGAACAGCTTTGCCATCCCCTCCTCCACCCCCAACCCCCTCTCTCCTAGCCTCAATTTCAAAATCTAAAAAACTCTAAAAATGAAAAAAAGTTTTGTCATAACTCCTTTGGTGGTAAAACATGCCCTAAGACTGACGGAAGGCTACTTATATTCTGTTCATATGTTTCTCTACAGGAATATTAATGTATTTAATTACAAGATGCTCCACAGACCCTAACTGAGGTGTTATGTCATATTAGGGGGACTGTACTTCCTGATTCACTGGGACAGCTCCAGTTTAAGCCAGATGTTCGGAAATAATTATTTTAGCTGTCCTTTTACTCTCAAAACTCTGGTTATACAATAAATTACATGGTCACACCATATGATATGCATACCATTATATTTCCAAGAAAAAGAAATGCATAAAAGCAAAATGGCTGTCTGAGGAGGCCTTATAAATAGCTATGAAAAGAAGAGAAGCAAAAAGCAAAGGAGAAAAGGAAAGATATACCCATTTGAATGCAGAGTTCCAAAGAATAGCAAGGAGAGATAAAAAAGCCTTCCGCAGTGATCAGTGCAAAGAAATAGAGGAAAACAATAGAATGGGAAAGACTAGAGATCTCTTCAAGAAAATTAGAGATACCAAGGGAACATTTCATGCAAAGATGGGCACAATAAAGGACAGAAATGGTATGGACCTAACAGAAGCAGAAGATATTAAGAAGAGGTGGCAAGAATACACAGAAGAACTGTACAAAAAAGATCTTCATGACCCAGATAATCACGATGGTGTGATCACTCACCTAGAGCCAGACATCCTGGAATGTGAAGTCAAGTGGGCCTTAGGAAGCATCACTATGAACAAAGCTAGTGGAGGTGATGGAATTCCAGTTGAGCTATTTCAAATCCTGAAAGATGATGCTGTGAAAGTGCTGCACTCAATATGCCAGCAAATTTGGAAAACTCAGCAGTGGCCACAGGACTGGAAAAGGTCAGTTTTCATTCCAATCCCAAAGAAAGGCAATGCCAAAGAATGCTCAAACTACCGCACAATTGCACTCATCTCACACGCTAGTAAAGTAATGCTCAAAATTCTCCAAGCCAGGCTTCAGCAATACGTGAACCGTGAACTTCCAGATGTTCAAGCTGGTTTTAGAAAAGGCAGAGGAACCAGAGATCAAATTGCCAACATCCGCTGGATCATCGAAAAAGCAAGAGAGTTCCAGAAAAACATCTATTTCTGCTTTATTGACTATGCCAAAGCCTTTGACTGTGTGGATCACAATAAACTGTGGAAAATTCTGAAAGAGATGGGAATACCAGACCACCTGACCTGCCTCTTGAGAAACCTGTATGCAGGTCAGGAAGCAACAGTTAGAACTGGACATGGAACAACAGACTGGTTCCAAATAGGAAAAGGAGTACGTCAAGGCTGTATATTGTCACCCTGCTTATTTAACTTATATGCAGAGTACATCATGAGAAACGCTGGGCTGGAGGAAGCACAAGCTGGAATCAAGATTGCCGGGAGAAATATCAATAACCTCAGATATACAGATGACACCACCCTTATAGTAGAAAGTGAAGAAGAACTAAAGAGCCCTTTGATGAAAGTGAAAGAGGAGAGCAAAAAAATTGTCTTAAAACTCAACATTCAGAAAACAAAGATCATGGCATCTGGGTCCATCACTTCATGGCAAATAGATGGAGGAACAGTGGAAACAGTGACTGACTATTTTGGGGGGCTCCAAAATCACTGCAGATGGTGATTGCAGCCATAAAATTAAAAGACGCTTGCTCCTTGGAAGGAAAGTTATGACCAACCTAGACAGCATATTAAAAAGCAGAGACATTACTTTGTCAACAAAGGTCTGTCTAGTCAAGGCTATGGTTTTTCCAGTTGTCGTGTATGGATGTGAGAGTTGGACTATAAAGAAAGCTGAACGCTGAAGAACTGATGTTTTTGAACTGTGGTGTTGAAGAAGACTCTTGAGAGTCCCTTGGACTGCAAGGAGATCCAACCAGTCCATTCTTAAAGGGATCAGCCCTGAGTGTTCATTGGATGGACTGATACTGAAGCTGAAACTCCAGTACTTTGGCCACCTGATGCAAAGAGCTGACTCATTTGAAAAGACCCCGACTCTGGGAAAGATCGAGGACAGGAGGAGAAGGGGACAACAGAGGATGAGCTGGTTGGATGGCATCACTGACTCAATGGAAATGAGTTTGGATGAACTCCGGGAGTTGGTGATGGACAGGGAGGCCTGGCATGCTTTGGTTCATGGGATCGCAAGGAGTCAGACACGACTGAACGACTGAACTGAATTGATTACTTTGTCAACAAAGGTCTGTCTAGTCAAGGCTATGGTTTTTCCAGTAGTCATGTATGGATGTGAGAGTTGGACTATAAAGAAAGCTGAGCACCACTGAATTGATGCTTTTAAACTGTGGTGTTGGAGAAGATTCTTAAGAGTCCCTTGGACTGCAAGGAGATCCAACCAGTCCATCCTAAAGGAGATCAGTCCTGAGTGTTCAACGGAGATGGACAGGGAGGCCTGGTGTGCTGCCGTCCATGGGGTCGTAAAGAGTCAGACATGACTGAGTGATTGAACTGAACTGTACTGATATTTCTAAAATCTACCTCTGTTCCATAGGCACACACTTCAAAGCCAAACACACCCAGCCAGGGTGGTAGGGGGCCCTCTGTTGTCAGCCTGGGGCACGGGGTTGGGGAAGGGGGAGCCAACCTGGGGGTTGCCATTCTCACCAGGAGCTCCTTGCTCTCCTTCTCTTCTGTGGAACGAAAGGCCTCATAGTCCTCCAAATCCTTCTTCAAGACCTTCAGCCTGGACTCTAGGAGCTCCTGAAGGAGGGTGAGAAGGAAGACATTGTGGGGAGAAGATTCTGGAAACCCCCACATGGGGCTTCCTGAAACCACCCGGAAGAAAGGGAAGGCCCTGTTCACTGAGGCGGAGGAGGATCAAAGCCACCTCTGGAGGTTGGGATGGATGCAGCCTACACAGGCTGCACTTAAGGGTACAGGGCAACTGCAAGCTGATTCCAAAGACCTCAGGGCCTCCCAGCCTCAAGACCATCTGTGCACAATGTAGGCTGAAATGCAAGCGCTCCAGCCGCCCAGTCTGCCTAGTCCTCTTTTCTGCTCTCCTCACCACCATCAGAAAGCCACCTGGCTAAGAGGGCTGGAGCAGGGTAAGAGCAAAGAACGACCGGGTACTGTGCGCAGGCCTCCTAGTGCACACCCCAGCAAGTTGGCAGGAAAGGGAGGCGGCTGGCACCCACAATCCCAGGTGGCTCTTGGCACTCTTCTCAACCCTGGATCCACTCACCCCCTTAGCCCAACCTCCTGGGAAGGTCGTCTCACTTGGCCACAAGACGTTAGAGAACACTGAACGGAGCTATGCCCGTGGTAAGGGTTGATAGTAGTGGTAGCAGATATGGGGGGGTGGGGGTGAAGGAGGCACTACTAGAAGCCAGGGACCGACAGAAAATCGCCAGATCTGTGGGGTATCGTGCAGTTGGTCTAGCATGGGCCCCAAAGGAAATGGCGAGGGGTATGGGAGGCTGGTGACAGAGGGAGAGCCGCGTTGAGTCCCGAAGCTAATGCCAGGCAGCATGCTGCTGCTGCTGCTAAGTCGCTTCAGTCGTGTCCGATTCTGTGCGACCCCATAGACGGCAGCTCACCAGGCTCCCCCGTCCCTGGGATTCTCCAGGCAAGAACACTGGAGTGGGTTGCCATTTCCTTCTCCAATGCATGAAAGTGAAAGTGAAAGTGAAGTCGCTCAGTCATGTCCGACTCTTATTGACCCCATGGACTGCAGCCTACCAGGCTCCTCCGTCCATGGGATTTTCCAGGCAAGAGTACTGGAGTGGGGTGCCACTGCTTTCTCCGGCCAGGCAGCATGGGATAGGACAAAAAAAAAGCAGGGGCTCACCTGAGCACGCTCACCTGCGTGCGCGGGAATATAGAACCGGGACTGGAGGTCCCGAGAACCCGCATGGGTGGGGACGACGCTCACCTTAGCCTCCTGAACCGCCTCGTCCAGCGGCAACACGGCGTGAGCGCGGTGCTCGCGGGCGCGGTCGCACACCACGCAAATGGCCCGTCCGTCGTCCTGGCAGTAGAGCTTGAGCGGTTCGCCGTGCTGTGCGCACCCGGCCGCCACCGCCTCCGGAGGCCCGTGTTCGCCTGGCGCGCCGGCCGGCAGGCTGAAACGCCGCAGCAGTGTGGCCACCGCGGCCAGCTGCCGGTTGGGCCGCAGCTGGCTGGGGCGCGCGGGCTCGCGACACTGCGGGCAGGGCAGCGAGAAGGACAGCGTGTAGGACACGGCGGTGGCCCTCGTCCCCGGGCGCTCCCAGCAGCGCGCGATGCAGGCGCGGCAGAAGCTGTGGCCGCACTCGACGGACACTGGCTCGCGGAAGAGCTCCAGGCAGATGGAGCAGGTCGCCTCTCCTTGCAGTTCTGCTGCCAGCGCCAGCGCCTCGGCCCCGGCGCCTGGGCCCGTCCGCGGCCCCACCGCCGCCATGCGCGCCTCCGGCTCACCGAAGTCGGGCGGCGCTGGAGAAGTTGCCGGACCCGACAGTGCGCGGCCGGGGCGGGCGTCCGAGCGGCCGCTGGAAGAGGAAGGGCGGGGCTGACGCCGGCTGGCAGAGGCTAGAGCCGAGTGCTCCAGGCTGAGAAACGCTAGAGGAGGGCGCGTCTGGACAGCTGGCGGAGTAGCACAGGTCAAGGGGATCTAAGCGCGGGCCAGTGCCTTGCATTCCCACTCTGAGCCCCCTCAATACCCCGCCTTGGCCAGCGGCCTCGGAGGTCCCGCGGCCCTCTCTCCGTCTCTCCCTTATCTCAGCTCTAACCCGAGCCTACGCTGTCCAAGCCTGACTCCGTGAGAAACGGGCCGGGACAGGTGGAAGCACACGCCCACCTGGGCGCCACTCCCAGTTGCTGCCCGAGGCCGACCCAGCACAGCCCGAGGGTCTGGCGCCGGACCACAGTGTCGGGTTCCCGGAGCACAGGTTTGTCCGGCCCTCTACTAAGTTAAATTTAGAGCCTGGAACCTGGCTCTTGCTCCTACCCCCGCCCCCATGAGTGGCCTTTTATCCGCTTCCTTGCGATTGTGTCCTCCTCTGCCCGTTTATTCTTTATTTTTGTTTTTTAATGCCAGTGATACACTTACAGTCAACACCCCCGCTTTATTCAGTGTTATCCTCCTCCCCTAAACCAACCAAGCCTCTATTGTCTCTTTAGCTTTATTTGTACGGCTCTCCCCAACCCGTCTGGAGCTGCCAATAATATTTGCTGGCACCCGGTCTCCCCTCGGGGTCTTCCCTGGTGGCTCAGACCGTAAAGAGTTTGCTCGCAGTTCGAAAACTCGGGTTTGATCCCTGGATCGGGTAGATCCCCTGGAGAAGAGACTGGCTACCCACTCCGATATTCTTCCCTGGAGAATTCCCTGGACAGAGGAGTCTGACAGGTTACAGTCCCTGGGGTCACAATGAGTCGGACACGACTGAGCGACTAATACACACACGTCTCTCATCACTCCCTCTGGAGGGCACTCGAAGCAGATTTTCTTCCTCAGCCTCCTCAGAAACCGCGCTTGTCAAGGTCACCGGTGACCGCAGCGATCAGAAGCCAAAGGTCAAGGCAGGCGGCTTCTTAGGCTTTACCGCCTCTCTCCTCGGATGCTTCCTCCTTCTGGCACCATGTCTTCCTTCCCGGGTACTGTACTCCCTGGTTTTCTCCCACTTCCATGGCTTCCTACCAGCTTCTTGATCACCACGGTTGTTTCCTCTTCCTCTCTCTGCCCTTGCTTGGTCCTTGGACTTTCTGTCTATGCTCACTTCCTTGTGATCTCTTCCACTTTCTTGCTGGAAAGACTTTCCCCCTGCTCCACGGAAAAATCCTCAGCCCAACTCTTCCTAGGATGCCTGGCTCCCACAGCCAACTCACTGGGCAGCATCTTCACATGAAGCGTTTTAAGGGAGAGTTACACACTCGTCACATCCACAATGCACTTCTCTCTGCCCCTCCACCTGCTCTTCCCATAGCCTTCCCCACTACACTCCATTTAACAGCAACTCCAACCATCCAGGTGCTCAGGCCCAAACCGGTGAGTCTTCTGAGGCTCCCCAAGAGAGGGGAAATGCACAGGACCCACCCCTAGTCGTCAGCATCTCTTCAATTCTTCCACAGCATCATCACCTATAATTTGATGATCACAACATTTCTTTCCCCTTCTGTCCCCCTCCTGCCCTATCTTCTCCATCCAGGTGTGAGAACAATCCTGTTAAAATGTTAAGTCAGATAGGGGTCCTCCTTTCCTCAAATTCTCCTGTGGCTCTCATCTCTCTCAGAGTAAAAGTTGAAGTCTTCACACTGTCTAAAGGCACTATCTATTCTTTCTTTCCATTCCCTGCATATAAAGTGATAGGAGATACATCCCCTCATCTCCTATCACTCTCCCTTGCTGCATGGACCCCCTTATTATTCCTGCAATAACATGTCACAAAGCTCCTAACTCAGGGCCTTTAAACTGGCTCTTACCTTTACTTGGACCTCTCTTTTCACTGACACTTTCATGGCTCACATTCCATCTCCTTTCAACCTTTTTTCTTCAAATGTCACCTTCTCAGAATCACACTTTACTCCATTCTCTCCCTCAAGGCTGGCTCTATTTTCTCTTTAGCACTCGACCTCCTCTGAAACCAGAGCTGATAGATGTAATGAACTACGTCAGTTTTGCTTATGGCCAAACTCTCAGTTTTCTACAGCAGTTCTAGGTACACAATAGAGCTTCATAAACTTTTCCTGGGTTTAATTAATTTAAATATGGCTCAAAATTCAGATGTACAGAGCATTTAACAGTGAAAAACTTTGCCCATCGCCTATGCCCCAGCCCCCTTACAATCCCAAGCATCAGCTTTGCAATTCTGAATTACTTTATACAAATATTGCACACTTTACTACACTCCCTCTTCTCAACAAAACTTGAAACAAGAACTTCCAGATGTACAAGCTGGATCTAGAAAAGACAGAGGAACCAGAGATGAAATTGCCAACATCTGTTGAATCATAGAAAAAGCAAGCAAATTCCAGAAAAACATCAACTTCTGCTTCATTGACTAAGCTTAAACCTTTGACTGAGTGGATCACAACAAACTGTGGAAAATTCTTGAAGAAATGGAACTGGCAGACCACCTTACCTGCCTCCTGAGAAACTGGTATGCATGTCAAGATACAACAGTTAGAATCGGACATGAAGCAATTGACTGGTTCCAAATTGGGAAAGGAGTACATCAAGGCTGTATATTATCACCCTGCTTATTTAACTTATATGCAGAGTATATCATGTGAAGGAGTACATCAAGGCTGTATATTATCACCCTGCTTATTTAACTTCTGTGCAGAGTACATCAAGCGAAATGCCAGGCTGGATGAATCCCAAGCTGGAATCAAGATTGCTGGGAGAAATATCGATAACCTCAGATATGCAGATGACACCACCCTAATGGCAGAAAGTGAAGAGGAGTTAAAGAGCCTCTTGACGGGGGTGAAAGAGCAGAGTGGAAAAACTGGCTTAAAACTCAACATTCAAAAAACTAAGATTATGGCATCCAGTCCCATCACTTCTTGGCAAGTAGATGGGGAAACAATAAAAGCAGTGAGAGACTTATTTTCTTGGGCTCCAAAAGCACTGCAGATGGTGACTGCAGCCATGAAATTTAAAAAACGCTCACTCCATGGAAGAAAAGCTATGACAAACCTAGACAGCTCATTAAAAAGCAGACATCACTTTGCCGACAAAGGTCTGCGGACTCAAGTTATGGTTTTTCCAATAGTCATGCATGGATGTGAGAGCTGCACAGTAGAGAAGGCTGAATGCCAAAGAATCGATGCTTTCCAACTGTGGTGCTGGAGAAGACTTCTTGAGAGTCCCTTGGACAGCAAGGAGATCAAACCAGTAATCCTAAAGGAAATCAACTCTAAATATTCATTGGAAGGGCTGACACTGAAGCTCCAATACTTTGGCCACCTGATGCGAAGAACTGACTCATTGGAAAAGACCCTGATGCTGGGAAAGAGTGAAGGTAGGAGGAGGAGGGGACAACAGAGGATGAGATGGTTGGATGGCATCACTGACTCAATGGACATGAGTTTGAGCAAGCTCTGGAAGATAGTGAAAGACAAGGAAGCCAGGCATGCTACAGTCCATGCGGTGGCAGAGTCAGACACAACTGAGCGACTGAACAACTCTTCTCGTTGTTTAACAAACGTAGCTGCTGCTGCTGCTGCTAAGTCGCTTCAGTCTTGTCCGACTCTGTGCGACCCCATAGACGGCAGCCCACCGGGCTCTCCCATCCCTGGGATTCTCCAGGCAAGAACACTGGAGTGGGTTGCCATTTCCTTCTCCAATGCATGTAAATGAAATGAAATTAAATTAAATGAAAGTAATGAAATGAAAGTAATGAATGTAAAATGAAAGTAAAAGCGAAAGTGAAGTCGCTCAGTTGTATCCGACTCTTAGTGACCCCATGGACTGCAGCCTTCCAGGTTCCTCCGTCCGTGGGACTTTACTACACCTCATCTTACTTTCCTTGTTTTGGCTCACAGTTCATTTTTGGGCGTCGTGCCAGATGACTTTCCCTTCTTTTTCCACCGCTGCCTCCAAGTGTTTATCCTGGTCCTGTGCTCCCCTTGGTCGTCATCTCGGTCGAAGTCCACTCGCTTAGAGTTAGTAGAGGACCCTGGAATAGCTCCCAGCGCTGGCCGCTGGCCTTTGCAGGCTTTCGATTGTTATAACTAGCAGATGCCTTTCGTTTGACTGCTTCTTTTGACAGTAGCCACCTAACAGAAATTAGAGTGTCCCCTGCGGCGGGCTGGGGATGTAGCTCAGTGGTAGAGCGCATGCTTTGCATGTATGAGGCCCCGGGTTCGATCCCCGGCATCTCCAGGGCGAGTGGTGCCTTCTGTTTTGCTTTCTCTCGACTCCAGAGTTTAGAAATTCAGAACCCAAACTCCCCAAAGCGTGGAGTTTGCACAGGTTGTGGGCACGGCGGCGACCTTCACCCACTCTAGGCTCAAGCCCGCGACGGTGCATTTAAACTTCGGAATGAAAATTCATGGATTAAGCTCGTCGATGGCATCAGCATGCGAACCTTATCCCTCCTTAGCGCCTGTTTTTCTCAGGGATGGAAAAGAAAGGCTAAGGTGCTGGCAGAAAAGGGACGGAAGTGGGAAGGACAGTCAGTCAAACATGATTGGTAGAGTTTGAATTTCTCAGGCTGCCAATAATCTTGTCTTTAGTGCCCCAATTTTGTCCCAATTAAATTCAACTTCAAGCTAGATACACCCGGAACCCTTCCTTCAAGTAAAAGTTACTGAAATAAAAATTTGTGTGCCCGGCTAGCTCAGTCGGTAGAGCATGAGACTCTTAATCTCAGGGTCGTGGGTTCGAGCCCCACGTTGGGCGAGAAGTGTATTTTGTTCTTAACTACCGGAAGGTTGATAGTGAGGAAATACTTCTGT